GTTTGAACCACCAGCCTTCTGGTTAATATATATAAGGCAAGAGTCCAGTGAAAGCACTGAATCAGTAAATATTTGCTGAATGGGCCAAGGAGTGATGAGGAAATAAGTCATATGACTCAGCAGAGAATCAGAACAAATGCCTGAGGCACTGCACCACTAGAGCTCCTAGCTTCTGGTGGCTCCCCACAATCCTTGCCATTCCTTGGCTTGTAGATGCATCACTCCAGTCTCCACTCTGTTTAGAGGACCGTCTTGCCTCTGTGTGTTTGTGTCTTCTTTTCTTCTTATAAGAACACTAACCATATTGGAGTGGAGCCTATCCTAATTATTATGACTCATGTTAATTTGATTACATCTTCCAAGACCTTATTTCCCAGTAAGGTCTCATTCACAGATGCTGGGGGTTAGGCCTTTCACATATCTCTATGTTGAACACAATCAACCCACATCACCCTTCCTAGAGGTTTATGCTTGTGTGTCTTTTCCAAGGGTTGTGCTCACACACACACACACTTTTGACATAAATTATGGTCTTTTCTACACAATATTCTGTACCATGCTCTCTGCACTAAACAATCTATCTTGATCTTTCCATATCAGAATTTAGAAAGCTGATTTTTATTTTAATGTCTGCGTAGTTCCTCACTCTATAAAGATATCATAACCTTTGCAAGTAGACCCTGGAGGCACAATGCTGAAATGCTCTGCTGTTAATTGAAAGGTTGACAGGTAAAACCCACACACAGGCTTTGCCAGAGAAAGACCTGGGTATCTGTTTCTGTGAAGATTACAGGCACAAAGCCCCTATAAGGCCATTCTGCTCTGTCACGCAACATCACCGTGAGTTGGAATCAACTCCATTGCACCCAACAAAAACAACAGTCCCCTATTTATGGACACTTAGGTTGTTTTGATACTTTTTGGTTATAAAGGATGTTGCAAGGAGCTATTTTTGTACTGTAATCGTTGAATTGTAAAAGTCAGGGACTTTGGAATTCTCCAGGAAGATGTAGGGAGGGAAAAACATTAATGGGAAACTTGAGATAAGTCAGAAATAGTGGAAAGTGCTCTGGCCTGAAAGTCAAGAAATCTAACTTATAAAAGTAATGATCAAGTTCCCTTTCAAGCCCCTAGTTTTTCACATTGTATAGAGCAATTCAATACCTGTTAACTTATCAAGTCTTAAGGTGGGAGAAATTATGAGCTCCTTGACTCACTGCCTGTATGGCCTGAAGCAAGTTTACTCACTTGTTTTTGTCCTAGTTATCCATAAAATAGAGATAATACTACTGCTGCCTCATGGGGACATTCTAATGTTTAATGAGCTACTTGTCTAAAGTGCTTAGAACAGGTCCGTCATAGACTAAGAGTTCAATAAACGTGAGTAATTATGATAATTTTACAGGTGAGAGAAGGAACACAGAGGATAAAGTACAAAGTCACCTAAGTAATAAAACATAGAGCTGACACAGGAACCCAGGTCCCCAGACCTCCAAAAGAATTATGCAGATCTACTATTTGGTCTTAGGGGTATGTCCATAAAACGGTGATAGCTGTCCTGACACATAGCAATTCATGGTGATAATTGCCATAGGAATTTGCCTGATCTTGTTTGAACAAATTACTCCAGCCTTATGCCTAATATTGTAGTTCATTTAAGATGCCATTGAGTATAAGAAACATCATTATTTCACAAACTACTGAGAGAGAGAAAGAAGAAAAGGAAGGAAAAGAAGGCAAGGAGGGAAGAAGGAACATGCCTCCTAAAGTTGTAGGATGCTAAGCCAGTTACACCACCATTCATCTGTCAGTTTGAGACAGTTGGTGGCTTGCATGTTGCTGTGATGCTAGAAGCTACGCCACTGGTGTTTTCACTAGCAGCAGGCTCACCCATGGTGGACAAGTGTCCGTGGATTTTCCAGTCTAAGATAGACCAGGAAGAAGTGCCTGGAAAGCTACTTCTAAGACCCAGCAGAACATTGTCTGACACACAGCCAGAACAGAGTCCCTCAGGCTGGACGGTGTCTAAAATACGACTAGGGAAGAGCTTCCTCCTCAAAGTAGAGTCAACCCAAACAACGTGGGTGGAGGACCCACAACAAGATGAATCGACACAGTGTCTGCAACAATGGGCTCAAACATAACAACTATTGTGAGGATGTCTCAGGACTGGGCAGTGTTTTGTCCTGTCATACACAGGGTCACTCTGAGTCAGAACCAACTCAAAGGCACCTAATAACAATGACATGCCAGTTATCAAGCTCTCATCTCAAAGCTGAAAACATCCTGTTCTGTGCTTTACTCTCTGAGGCTGAGCCTGGGACCTGTACGCCTCATTGGTCCTTTGTAACTGCTTCCCACTGTTGTTGTTAACTTCTGTCAAGTCAGCCTCCAATTCATGGCTTCCCCATGTGAAAGGGAAGAAAACACTGCCTGCTTCTGTGCCATCCCCATGACTGGTTATGAATTGGAGCATTGTGATCTGTAAGGTTTTCACTGGCTAATTTTGGGAATTAGATTGACAGGCCTGGCCTCCTAGTCCATCTTAATCTGGAAGCTTCATTGAAACCTGTTTAGCATCATGTCAACACCTACACTTCCATTGATGGATAGGTGGTGGCTGCACGTGGAGTGCAGTAGCTGGAAAGCAAAGCTGGGCTGTATGCATGGAAGGCAAGAAGTCTACCACTGAACCACCACTAGCCTTCACTGCCTGTTATAATCCACCAGTGGGGACACCAGTCCAGTCCAGTCCAGAGGGAGTCCAGGAAGCAGGTGGAGTGGAAGGACTTGTTCCTTGTCTGCCTGTGTCTCCTTGTTTGTCCCAGAAATGATGGTACAGTGGCAATTGGTTCCATTTCTACATTTTGTCCACACTCTAGAACTAGACCCATGGTGCCCTTCAGAAGAATCAGTACCTACTGGGCAATGCTCTCTCATCAAATGTCTGAAA